ACGAAACTCGTACCGCTGTAATCTTACAAAATCAGATGTTTTTTTATTTAAAAGTACGAGCAAGTACTTTTTACGTCTGCGACCTTATGAACACGCTCTCTCAAAGTTTTCCCCAGAAGAAACGAAGCGGTAAAACTTAACTTAGCAATTCGCAACATGATAATGGAGGACGATAATAACTTTAAAAACTCAAATTGTATCGCAAATAGGACTGTCTTCATCTCGAGACAGTTAAAGCCGAGACGATTTGTTCTTTTCTCACAAAGAGTTGTCTAATGAAACCTTATCAGATCATACGGGACGTTTCAAACTATATCGTTCACTTTGTGCGAAGTTATTATCCGTCATCTACGAATCTCTCTTTCGGAAATTCATTTTGATCGATCGCGATCGACGCCGCCCGAAAGAAAACGCAGGCGAGATGAAGCCGGAAGCCAGAACTACCAACGGATAACGCGGGGTGAGGGGGATGAGGGGTAAAAGGGAGAAGGGATCGTGCTTTTTTTCGCCATCGTCTCGCGTCAATTAGTCCGGGATAATTGGTCGGCCGATGCCCTTGAACCCTAAGTATTGATTGGTGAGGTCGGATTCTGCCGGTATGGCTGTGTCCCTCTTGCCTCCGTACCGATGGCACCACCCCTATGCATCCACCTCCGAACCGACCAACCAACCAACCACCCGCCCCGTCGCCACCGCCGTCGCCGTCGCCGCCGCCGCCGCCGCCGCCGCCGCCGTCGCCTAACCCCCGCAGCGAACCTCCCCCTTTTGCTTCCCCGATGCACCCCGCGCGTAACCCACCATCCGTGGTTCTCCAAGTGCCGTCGCCGTTAAAGCACCGCGTGTCGGCAAAGGTTTTTCCGCCCTTTATTTATTTAATTGAACTACGAAACGCCATTTCCCACGAACGCAATCCGAACATACCCCTCACCCCCTCGCTTCGCTCGCTCACACATTCTCTCTCTTTTCCTCTCTCTCTCTCTCTTCTCTCTCTCTCTCTCTCT